TGCCCGTCGTGTTTTATGACAGTGTAATACACGGCTTAAGCTTCTTTATTTGTCAAATAAAATATACTTTTATTGAATTTTTGGTATGGAATTTATCTGAAAAATAAAGATATTGCTGTTGTTATCATCCTTGCACTTTTTCGATAAAGTTTTCCTCACGCTTAATTTGTCTAAAAGTCGTTTTGCAGATGTTAATGTGCTTTGTGTGTTTTGTTGGTAATTAAATTTTTAATTTCCTTTCGCTAAGTTTCACAGAATGAACGTAAAAATTTCCTTTGGTTTAATATGTTCACTTGCCTGATTCGGTTGCCTGTAGCTTTATAGTTGACAGTATTTTCAAGTTTAAAATATCATTGTCAAATGCGGTGAAGTATTTATGAACATAATTAGGGTTTTTCTACTTTACCTTAATTACACTCATAAAGACGTACTTCACCGCTTTTGACACTGTCATTTTGAACTTGACAGTTCTGTCACGAGGACGGCGAAACGTTGTTTGCAACTAGTTTATCTAGGCTAGCTTTTATTTTGCTTCACATAAAGGAACTTGACCACTTCCTTGTGGCAGTCACTTGTTCGTGAGAGCAGTACTTTGTCATGCGCAATGATCTGATTGAAGTGTGGTGTCCCAGTTTCATAGAGTAGTTAAACATGAAAACAAACGAATTACTTAAACGAAAAAGTCTGCTAAACAGTTTCACGCCCCGTCCACACTACGCTGGAGGAGGTTTCATTCTGAAGACGCATCAAATGTTTTCCATCCACGCTACGCCGGAGGAATTTAAACACATGGCAATCACCGGTCATTTTGGATTTATGTTTGCAGAAACCTTGGTCAGGGAAATCGCATGATTACCGTGACGCTATCGTTTTCGAAAAGCTCCGTTTTCAACTTGTTTCCCGCCCACACGAAACCGAAAAGCCGGCGTTTTCAAATTCCTCCGATCTGAAAAGCGTTTTTGAAAAGCTCCGTTTTCGTGGCGGATTATTGTGGGCGGTAGGCCTAACCGTTGAAATAAAGCTGTGTTTTCAAATTCTTCCGACGTAATACTAGTGTGGACGGTGTCAAAGTAATCAGTTAGTAGATGTTTTAATAGGGCCCCTGGTTTCACACTTCACGATCCAGACTCCTTCAATTCAAGGCGTGGCACCTAAGCTGTTGAAAAAAATTATTAACAATCGTCATTTTGGTTGTTTACGAGCTGCGGAGTGAAAGTGTTATATTAATAGTAGAACTCTGAAGGTCATTTGTCCGTGTGTTTTCTTCTTACCCTAGCAAACATGATATTGAAGGAGTACAGGATCTGTATGCCGATGACAGTGGAGGAGGTATGTTTAAAAGCTCAGATCTAGGTAAACCATGTCAAATTTGGCTTTGACATCATGAAAACTTCGCCGGCATGCATGCGAAATTTATGACAACACAAACACGACACTAACTAAACATCAGATCCATGGATCGCGTGTACGTTTTGAAGAAATTCGAGATTGGACCTTGCCTTTTACTCCTAGCTTTCTTGATGTGTGTTCACAAGTTAGGCACCGAATTGAAATCGAAAATTTGTTCGCGTGCTCGCAGTAGTTACCTGCTCGTGATCATTCATTTGGCTGTAAAGCAGTAGAGATAAGTTAATTTGGAGGATGCCGCGATCGAGCAATTCGATTGATATGATATTGCTGCGAAATCGACGCAAGATCGAGAATTCTATGTAATTCAGTTATTTGTTATTTGAGTGTTTAGTGGTACATGATGCCGGGATGATGTTAGCTAAGGATTTCTACATAAGTTTGCTGCGGTTAACAGAGAAGTAAGCTTATTGCACCGTTTTGAAAGGTTATGTTCGTATGCAAGGTACCTGTGTATAGAAGGCGGGAATGTGGATTCGTGAAATCCTATCAATATTAAAGCAGTGGCTGCTATTGATAAATTAATTGAGTTTTGGCGGCTGTAAATACGGGTTAAGTTTATGATGTAAGTGAAATGGATCCGCTGTGTCATTATTCGCCTCCATCAGCGATCACTGTTGAGAAAAGCCACCGGAGATGTAATCTTCAAATAACGCAAGCCTAAAGGTCATCGTGTTTGGCCGTACTTTTGCCCAAGAGGCGAAAACTGTTATTCGTGACTATAGATGGATGTTTGAATTTATTCTCTCATATCGTTTCCAACATCGATTGCCTCTGGCACAATTGGAATCAAAATCTGCATTGTTTTACTACTTAATTCGAGTACGCTACATTTTGATATTTTTATTATTGGCTGTTTTTTTTTTCCTTTAAAAGTGCGTTTTGAAAGGTCGTCCCTATCTCGAGTTTCAGTTAATTTGATTTTGGTAATTAACAGCTTCCTTTATGGAAAATGTTACCATTCCCTACGCAAATAGCATTTTCTGCCAGCCGTAAAGATGTAATATTGTTTCGGAGCGTTCTATTTTACACGAAATATTGCACATGTAAATTATGTGTTTAATTAAATTATAGCTTGTGTCCTGACTGTTTAAAACACGAAAATGTACCATTTCAAAAATTGTGCTACTTCCTTTTAATCAACTTGGATTCTGCTAAAGTATTGTGATCAATTCCACTCCAAACTGATACTTAAACCATCTATCAGTGATCTTTCATTAATGTGTGAGTAAAACAATGACATTACGACAGAAGCCCATTGTTCCTTAAACCAACCACCAAAAAATAAATCATATCTGCCACTTTAATACATGTACCGGTACTGTAGATTATTATAAAACCTCTACATTAATACCCAGTCCATCCCCAAAAAGCCTCCCCACTTTAAGCAGTCTCCATTGTGTGTTTTGAGAGGATCAGCAAGGGAAAGAGACTTAGTTAAGCCTGGCGATGAAATACTTCTGTATTAATCATGATAGAAAAAGTTAAGTTCTGATTGGCTATTGAATGTACTATTAATTGGATAATGCATATATATTTAGTATCATATAGGTCAGCTATACATGATTAGCAAACACAGCCATGATCAAAGTGAGCAAGGTGAAGGGGTCCATGTGGTGAAAAATGAACCATGTGAGGATGAAAAACATGGCAAAGGACAGTTCACAGAAAAGAGGGTTTATTTATCCAGGTGAGGTAAAGTCTTGTATGGTAATGTAAGTCTTGTGGATTTAAGTGCATAATGTATGGTGCACTGAAAGCTTAGAGTAGCCTGGGTTAGTGCTGTTTTGCTGGACTACAAGTTAGACTGTTTACTCTCACAGTACCCCTATCCACACAGACACATAAATGTGTAGCCGCAAAATAAATGCTGGGGGTATAGTCATTTCTGAGGAGGTTGCTCCGTTGGCATCATTTGATCTTTAGAAAATTTCTGCGCGAGTTTCGGAAGAAAAAAATTATTACATGTAGGTTTTCTGTTGCATTCACCTAGTGATAACCAAACAACTCATAACTGAGTCAGAAATAAATTCTCCCTGGGTATGCATACATTTACACAAATAATATTTGTCCAGAAATTGCCGATTTCATATATAACAAACATCTACATCTATATAGGGGGTCCTGCAATGGGAGGTCCCCATCACTGCAAGACAACACAAATGTCTCGTACAGTTGTGTTGTTGATTGATAGAATATTGTCTGGGAGATTAACTGAGTTGAAGTGTAGGGTGTTACCAAGGATTGTAAAAAATGGAACTTGATTGTTAGCTTCTCTCCACAGCCGTCTTCCTGGATGGATGCGATCTTATATTCCAAAAATATTCTATGTAGAAGAAAAGGCGTGGAATTATTACCCTTACACAATAACAGGTTAGTGCAAGCATAAAATTTTCAGTCAATGTTTTGATCACTTGTCTGTTACCACCTGACAAGGTTGTTATCGTGGTAATATCATGGGTGACAATTTACTCCCTATTCTGGTGTGAAATATCAGACTAGTGTTAATTTATAATTTCACATGTGAAATTACAAAATTGCCATGGCAATGTTAGGCTTGTAATTTCTTGATACAAGAAACAAGTGAAAAACTCATGATTGAAAGCATAATTTGTCACCAGCGATATTAATCAAATTGCATGCTTGTGAAATTAAAAAAAAAATGATTGCACTAGCATTTTGTCAAAATGCTAGAAATTTCCTTTGCCTGAAGTCTCCGAAAGTTATTAAAATTTTGACAAAATGAGCATGAAATTATTTTGTAATTTTCCTCTTCACCATTTAATTACCCATATGAACGTTCTTTTCCCTGGACTGCAGAAAAGCTTGGATAATAGTTTAACAGCATATGTTTAAATCATGTACATGTACTACTAATTTTGTGTTTTCTTTCCTTTTTATGCACACTCCATTACTTCAATGCCATGTACAGAATATTGTGTGAGTATTCATCAAAATGTAACATTATTATTTTTTAGCAATAATATCGTTACAAATAAGAAGACATTAATGGGAAATGTGCTATTTTTAAAACAAAGTCATTAGAGTTTATGAATCCATCATGATGACATAAGGGTGTGGAATAAAAATGAATATTTTAATAATTCTTTTGATAATCATTGAATCCTAGATGGTAAATATAGATCTCTACCAGCTATAACTGAATGTAACTTTTATTCTCTAGGACAGGAAAACAAATTGAAATGATAAGCAAAACCCTCAAAAGTCCCCCTTTGGTGTCAGTCGACTGACACATTGAGGCTTTGTATGTAGAAGAGAAGTACAATTTTGCAGGGTTAGGTAAAGTGTTGTAGGGCATAATGTAACATAAATTTAGGTCATGCAAGTGTTGTGTGATTAAAGAAATGTTATTCAAAATAATAATAGTGATAATAAATAAATGTAAAATAAATAACTTCTTTACAATTTTTTCTGTTTGCAGTGCTCCTTTCTTCCAAGATTTTCAATTAGAATAAGAACAAAATATTACAATGACAATGGGAGTATAGAAAATGTATGTATTTTTAGAACCTTTGTTCATTTTTGCAATATATTTTCAAAAAAGGAGAAGAGGAACAGTTAACAATAACATTTCCCGCGTTGTCAACATTAAATAAATTATTACTATTACTATTACAATGGTTTTACTAAAAACTTAAAACACAAAATATTTAGAAAAAAGACATGTGCGCTAGAATGTATATTGGTAGCCTCAAAACTGCCCTTAGACCTGTGTGACATTTGGTGAAAACAACTTGTAGCCTTTTAATTAAACACTTAAAAAATGACTGCTCACCAATTGGCAGCTGCACACAGTTTTTTCAACCGTCTCAGGTCTTATCAGCATGATGTAACAGTGCTTTCAAATGAAGCTCTGCACTGCTGCAGCTCTGGTGGGAATTGGCCTGGCATCCTGCAGGGTTCAAACATTGGCCTTTTGATATTTAGCATTGGTAGCTGGAACTCTCCACAAGAAGTAGATTATTAAACTGGGGTGGCGAGGTTTTGCAGGGTTGTTGTTAAGACTAATATTTAGCTGAGAAAAGTAATGGTGCATCAAAATATTAAGCTTTGGTTGACAATTCATCTTTAAGGAGTAACTACTAATTAAAACTAATGCCTTCTTTCTGTCTCAAGTGCTTTGAATTAGATGAGGAGACGCTTGAATCTAGGGAAGTTGTAGATGTTGATATTGCATATGATGAATTACCAGAAAAACATTATGTTCCTGAAGAGGTAAGGACTGTGGCTACGTGATATTTTTATGTTATATATCCTGCAGAAAAAGCTATTCTTAGATAGAGTGTAAAGAATGATATATAATGGTTTGCAGTAGGCCTCTATAAAACTGTCAATTTTATGCAGCAATTTAATATCACAGCTTATAATCCATCAAATATTTTCACTCGTGTGTGATAGATCTAAATGCATCGAGTGACTGAATATTTCCCAGCTAAAACTGGGCAATATCCGAGTGATATTCTCCGATTTTCAAAACTGCGTGTGTTGCGAAAAATATTTGAATAATTAACTCAATAGCCTCCATTTGGCGTAAAAATATGCTCTGCTATTCATCCTTGGACATTAGCTATTCCTCAAAGCTCACAGTTTTCCATGAACTATGCTCTCGGAAAACTGTTTGTTTCGCGGAACAGATAATGCCTGTAGACAAATACCCTATCATATTTTCGTGCCAAATAGAGGCTTGTTTATTTATAAACATTTCACTCCTTGATGGTTAAGAGAACCTCCAACTGCAGTTTGGGTTTCCTTGCATATAAAATCGTATACAGCAATTCAATGTGGCTCTTATCTCATCTTAAAAAGATCACTGACATGGAATCAGTGGTTCTGTAAATAATTTGTCTGATTAAGTTATGTAATGGTAGTTGTTCCTGTACATTTGATTTATGATAATATTATTATTTTGAATCCATTTTGTTCTGTTTTAGGACTGTAGGTCTTTTAAATCAAAGAAAACAGGCAGGGGTCCATTAAAAAAGGGCTGGAAGGTGAGTGAGACTAGATAACCACTATTGTAAGTTATACTGTGCAATAATATGGATATTTCCTCAGGAAAACAGGATACTATTTGAAAAGACTTAAATTGCAGCCAGTACTACTGTCAGTAATATTGTACTACAGGGGAAAAAAGGACAGTAGTTGAAATGGTAGCCTGCAAATGTAGACGTTTTTTTGGCTGTGGCTTGTCACAAAAAGTAATGTTTGGCAAAGACAAGCAACATCCAGAAAATATATTTGCATTCACAGGCTGTTGAAATGACAGCTAATGACGATTGTTTGAATTTACTCTGAAATGAATGGGTTGCGCAGGTGTGAAACCAGTGCACATGTCTGAAATGAGAATACAGTCTTGTTAAGACACCACAAATGCCATTATAAGGTCTGCTAGGCAGCTGAAGTAATACTATCATACTTAAGTATAATAATTTCAGGATGACACACAACCCATCATGTGCTCATACAAGCTAGTCTCTGTTTCATTTGATGTTTGGGCGTTAGCCTCAAGAGTAGAATCATATGTTCACAAGGTGAGCTTCAATACAACCCTGTATAACAATATTAAAGTAAGGCGGTGATGGACATGTGAATGTAGCTAGCATCATATGTACACGAACCTGATAATTTGAAGAAATATTCTTGGACAAAAAGTATACAGGATTTTAAGAAAGTGCATTATAGGGTTATGTGAATGACCATTATCATTATGGGTATGTTCGTTATTAATATTCATTTTTTTTTCACTTTGTGGCATTGAAAGATAAAATCTCAGTACTGATCTTGTGAAATACTTTCATGCATGGTCAATACAAATTAGTACATAGTATGTGAGCTTAACAGAAAACCACTGGGCTTTGTAGATGACTTGGTGGAAGCTACTGCTGAAATGCCCTCCTCATACAGTACTGGAACTTTAACTTTAGGAGAAACCTTTTACCTTAGTTTATTAGGCATTGTGCTTTACACACTTATTGTTTCTCCTTCTTGAAAAGCGTCTGTCGTAGAATCAAACCCTAAAATGTCATATTAAGCAATAACATTGCTAATACTGAAATTTGTAGTTTTACACCTATTTTAGTTAGTGTGAAATGGGGTGTGGAAAATTGCAGATTTTGGTCTGAAATAGCTAGGGTATAGGTTTCAAGGTTCGGGCCTCATACCACCACCAGAAACTTCAAGGAACAACCCATCGAGAGGAAAGCCTAGATTGTGACCATTCAGATGAAAACAGTGTAACATTACTTTACATTGTGCATTCTAGAAAATATCCATACTCCCCCCAAAGAGGGGATTGGAATTTCCTTGGGGGTGGGGGGTTCTATGAGACCAAAAAATTTAAGTGTATGAAGCTTAACTGGAATTTACAGAGGGGTGGGGAGGTATTAGAAAAAATCCCTTGAATGGGGGAGGTATGGATATTTTCTGGAACTACACATTCTCATTTGTTCATTATTTACAAATGAGTTTCAGTAACCTTTGAGAATAACAGCATTAACAGATATTATACGACAAGACTAACGAATCAAATCTGGTATATTATTCAACCTAGCAATTGTTTGCCTTTTATTGTTGCTCTTTTCAATTTTCCAGTTGCAAGTTAAAAAGATTTTCACTCGAGTGTGGCTGAAATGAAAAGAAAAACTAAATTTAAATGGAAGAAACTCCCATTCTTTTAACCATCCATTCAGAAATTAACATCTAATGTTATTAATTTTGTGGCCCTCATTAGGTTATACAGGACATTTTATTGCTAGGCCATAGACAAGCATTTGCATGGATTGATGACTGGATCGGTAAGTTTTGATTCACTGATGAGAAAAGGGCAACTTGTAAAATGTTCCCCAAAATGCTGTTAATTAATCATATGCAGTTCCAAACTATACTCTGGAATTTGTAATTAGGGACTTCAATCCTACAATAAAACTAGAAATTTAACTCCTTCTCCCCTGAATCTCAAACTAAGATGTGCCATTTTTCCAGGGCAGGGGACAATATTGTACTAAAAAGACATTTGTTCATACTGTGTAATTGCCTGCAGTATCATCATGTTCCATGTTAATGCTGTTGACAAAATGAAGTAATTTTCATTGAATTGTAGGCATGACTATAGATGATGTGAGGGATTATGAGAAGGTAATGCAAGAAAAAACAAATGATAAAGTTGCAGCAGACATTTGACTTTTATTTTAATTATGTGACAATAACATTGTACCAAAAAAATAATTACAAATAATTTTTTGTGGAATGGTTTTGTGTTGCTACCAATGAGGTGTGACATCAGACTGAAAAAGTTTTTTGAGACTTACTGCACTTTGGTTTGCTCATAGTTTTGGGCCATAATTCTGATGAAGAGTTCAAGGGTGCACCTTTTCAAGTTGTTGTTTATTTCAGTCCAAATTTGAATTATTCTTGACAGCAATGATAGTTTTTAAAACAAGTAAAACAACTTATTACAATCAACAACATTTAATTGAGAAATTCTGGGAGTCTGATCTCCAAAATAACTGTTAGCAACACAATCCATTCTGTAAGTTATTATGTAATAAATCGCTGTATCATATATCAAATATTCACACAAAAAGAAATTTTTAATAAAGTGCAATGATATTTTGAACACTAGTTAGATGTGTGAAATATTAATTTTTAATCTTTTGTGAGGAAAAAAGATGTTATACAATTACATGTGCATTATGTCTGCCTTGGTAAATGTTAAATGTTTCTCCCATTTTCTTTAATTATGCCAGTTCAGTGACATTGAAATATTGATTCAGGGCTCAAAAAAAGTGCCAGAAATTTGTCTCGGACAACTACATTTTCCTTTTGGGCAAGTAACCTTTCAATCTCACTTGCCCAATGGCAATGGCCCAGGCAAGTCGTCTGCCATCTAGATAAAAAAAATAGCAAACTTAGACAATGCCTGGGGCAAGCCATGTAATAAATCTGTTATTGACTGGTATGCTTACTCAGGACTAAACTAGAAGACTGTCACCTCTTGGTCTTAAAAGTATGGATAAAGCACAGCAGGTCTGTATAGAAAAGACCAAGGGCTGAGATTATGACAGTACGTCCCTTGCACACTGTCAGTGAATAAGCTATATTTATTGAGCTTCTGTTAAGATAACAACTCAATCTTGTTTAGCTTTAATGACCATTACCCTGATTTACTTCCTAGTATTTATTTACTTTTGACAATTCCAAGACCACATTGTACATGTATATCTCAAAATTATGTCTAAATAAGCATCATTCTTCAGTCTATTTTTTCCTTTTTATGTTTGTTACAAAAATTATTTAAAATGGCTCCAATAACACTTATAGAACCCAAGACAAAGTTGTGCCAAGAATTTCATAAAACAATACTTCCAATGCCTATACTAGAAATACCAATTTACTACTTTTTGTCAGTGAGATTGCATTATCATTATGGTTTTTTGCTAGTGACACTCGCATCATATTGAATTCAATGACTAAAGTTCAGTTCAGTTGCCAGAAATTAATGCCAGGGTGAGCCACATTATACCTGTGTATCTTATGTTAAATAACAGGCAATGCCACTTGAATAGTTATGTGACTATTTGTACAAAAAGTGAACTCTTAAACATGCTAGGATAGTATGGATTTGAATTATTGTGCAGTTTGCAAAGTATTTTTTTATTTTTAGTGTGTAAATAGAATTAAAGGTGAATAAAACATTTTAGAATTGCACAGTACTTTACTGAGTGTTGTTTTGATTTTTAACCCAAAATGAGTATGCTAGACTGAGTAAAGAGAATGAAATAATTTCATTCTCTTAATCACACAATCTTACAACCAATCAATTGGTTTACCACTGAGAATGTTAATAAGTCAGTCAGTTTAGTCTTTCCCTCCATTTGTCGATCCATTGGTGCATCCGGCCATTTAGCTGTCCATCCATCCATGCATACAGCATAACAGTACCACTTATTAAAAGCCTTGAATCTCAGACAAGAATAGCACTATGTCAGCATTCTGCATGTGTAAATGCACCCCAACCCATAAAGCCTTTCATTTATCAATGTCATCGTCAGAGTGCATGTAAACAGGTTTGGCCTGTTTTCTGATGCGCTCTTGAGTCTTCCTTTGTTTTGTACTTGTTTTTGGCACAGCTGAAGGTGGCATATGTATCTATATATTAACAAAGAAGCAGAAACCGAATTTTAGTGTACATTATTTCCCATTTCTAGAACATTTTATGTACTCAATAAAGGAAATAGCAAACTTGCTTATGTATTGTTGAGTTATAAGAAATCGTGAATTTTAAGAATACTCAGATATTTGTGAAAAGCATTTGTCTTGTGTTCTTAAAATTTTCACATGCTTGTGTAACATAACAATACACTTTTGCATGTTTTTTGCTCCCTTGATACTAAAAGGCTTACCATTCTAGGATAAGGTGTCCTATAGTGAAGGGCTGAAATAGAGAAAAAGAATATATAAAATTTCAGCCTGGGTAGCTGGTGGGATTTTGTGAGCAAGTGCTTTGTTTCAGTGGTGAATTGCTAATGCAAAACCGCATTTATTTCAATGTTGCAAAATAGGAGAAAGCTAGGAGAAAGCTTGACCCATACAGAAATTAGAATTAATTCCCTAAATGAAGAGGAGCAGAGGACTGTAAAGGAGATTCTTAACACTGCAAAGAGCTCTTGAAAAGTTTGTTTCGATCCTGTCGGCAGCCAGTTTCTTTTTTGGGGGGGTTGGGGGGGAGGGGAGTGAAATATGGCAGGATCTTTACACTATTTAATGAATTTTGATCAGCAGACTAC